AAAGAGGCACAGGTTCAACGTAGTGGAAATCAGACTTGAAAACTGTCTTTCTTCTCTGGGCGGTACTCAAAACCCCGTTATTACACACTTTCAGAAGATCCTCCCTGGTCAAATCATCAACCACATTTTTAACTTTCTCCTCTGGTACTCCAAGCAAAGTCAATTTCTCACTAAGTTTAGCAAGTAAATATGACTGACCAATGTCATGAATACTCTGAAATTCCTCAACAATACTTTGAATAGTAGACTCTGGAAGCAACAATTTAGCTTGTAATTTCAAATAGAAATGAGTCAAATTCCTCAAAAACAGAGATTCTACATCACCAAGAATAGCTTCCCCTAAATCCTCTGATCTTTCATTTTCAGATATCAATACATATTCATGCTGGCCAGAACCTGAAACTTCACTGTCCAAAACAGAATCGATCAGACTGCTGACAGAACAGTTTTTGTGATTTCGAGACACATGTGATGCAAATGTTGATTTCACTCTAAATTTCTGACCACACGCCAAAAATGGACATGTGATTTCCAAACCTTATTGGATATGATTCTTCAGATGAGACAAAAACTGTGTTAAATTCCCACATTTGACTTGACAGAAGTCTACCTGACATTTCAATGTTGTATCCTGAACCTGACTTTGGGCATCCCTAACATGCCTGTGATGAACCCTGTGATCTCTGTATATGTGAGATTTTAATGCAGTAAACTTCTTGAAAACACGTGGGCAATCAGGCACGCCACATCTAAATTCAGGATTAGGAGCATTTCTGTGCAATTTCATATGCTGAGCAAAAGGTAAGATTGTACTGCTTTCATGATAACAGAGTTGGCAAATAAACATTTTGTAGAGAGAGGAAATAAAAATGGAACTAACTACAGCAAAGGTGCATGCACGTTGGCCACATTAAGCCTAAAAAAGACCACAACGCGCCCCCACAAAAGGTAGCTTACGATAGCAAGCCACTTTAACACAAGCATGCGTGACTATCATAGTTTCTTTTCTAGCTACACGTCTTTGTGCACTTAAACGCTAAATTGCCTTTGTAATGCGACAACGTGACAACCTTAATGGATGAATCGATAAGACATCAAGGCACTGAAAAAAACGGCTCTATTCACACGGTGCGGCCGAAGTGTATAAGGTGTGCTGTTGAAGCTAGTTAGCTAGGTTAGCTAGCTAGCGTTGGCTTGCTTACTTACTTAGCTAGGTTAGCTCAGAGAATCCGAGAATCCGCAGAACCAAAGCGATTCAAATGGTCATGGAGAGAACAAGTTCCCGAAAGCTTGTGATGTCTGAGGCGAAGTAAAACCAGAATATGCAATATACGTTATAGCTAAAGACTTCGTTTCAGTGAACACCAGGTCCAATGAGGCGCCACAATCCTTTTTCAAACCTCCATTTCCATAAGCCGTCCGTTAACTTTAGCATGACTTTTAGCGACGGAACACATCATACATCTAACAAACGCGATGAGGAATCTAACTTACACAGCCACCTTTAATCACATATCTTGTTGTAACTTAGATAGCTACCCTAACTAGCTGTAGCATTAAAGTTGCTGTGCTGTGCTGGCTTAGCAAGTTCAGAGAACGTAGGTTAGCTAAGTGCGGCGGACCAGACACGATTAGTATTAATCACAGAAAGCAAAAACTCTCAGCTACAGAGGTCTGAGATAAAGCAAACCTTAGAAATATAATCCCATTTGTTTGACAAGAATAAACAATAGGTAACGTTAAGAATAATTCGTACTTGTTTTAGTGAACACCAGGTCCAATGAGGCGCCACAATCCTAGTTCAAACCTCCACTTTCAGAAGTCCGTTGGCCATCCCAGAGGTCCTTTCGCGTTCATGAACTTGCTGTAAATTCTACAATAAACTGTTAAGACTGGACAGCAGCTCCCATGAATCATAGCAAAATACAGTAATATGCAGTAATTTCAGAATACAGGATGTTATTGTAAATATTTGCTGTAGAAATTACATCAATTGTTTACACTGTAAACAAGTGAGTTTCCAGCCTAGATTTTAAGATTGCGACTGAGTCTGAGTCCCGAACATTTTCTGGAAGATCATTCCAGAGTTTGGGGGCTTTATAAGAAAAGGCTCTTCCCCCAGATGAAACCTTCTGAATTCTGGGAACTATAAAAAAGCCAGCACTCTGTGATCTGAGTAATCGTGGTGGCTCGTAATGGGAAATAAGGTCTTGCAGGTACTCAGGAGCCCATGTAGGGCTTTATACGTCAATAAAAGAATTTTGTAATCAATACGGAATTTAACAGGCAGCCAATGGAGTGATGATAGGACTGGACTGATATGATCAAATGTTCTAGTTTTAGTGAGAACCCTGGCTGCAGCATTTTGAACTAGTTGAAGTTTACTTAAATTCCTGCTGGTGCATCCTGACAGTAGTGCGTTACAATAGTCTAGCCTTGAAGTAACAAAGGCATGTACTAATGTTTCTGCATCGTGCAGCGATAAGGCATTTCTTATTTTGGCGATATTGCGAAGGTGTAAAAAAGCTGTCCTAGTGATGCTGCCTATGTGTTGATCAAATTATAAATCTGGATCAATTATGACACCAAGATTTTTTGCTGCTGAACCAGGTATAACTGGAAAACCAGCGAGATTTAAAATTAAAATCTGATCATTTATTTCTTGCCACTTTTGGACCCAGAAGGAGAACCTCTGTTTTGTTACTGTTTAGAAGGAGGAAGTTACGCAACATCCAGCCTTTCACGTCTTTTACACAGTCCTCTATTTTCTTTAACCTGTATTTGTCATCAGGCTTGGCTGATATGTACAATTGCGTATCGTCTGCGTAACAGTGAAAGTTAATGCCATGGCTACTTATAACTGTGCCTAACGGTAACATGTATAATGTAAATAATAAAGGTCCTAAAATAGAGCCTTGCGGAATTCCAAATCTTACTTGTGAATAATTGGAAGATGAATCATTTACCTTTACGAACTGATAACGTTCCGTTAAGTAAGATTTGAACCACGATAGGGCGGTCCCTGTGATTCCAACCATGTTTTCTGACCTTTCTAGGAGAATATTGTGGTCTATCGTATCGAAAGCTGCGCTGAGGTCAAGTAGCACCAACAGGGATACGTAGCCTTGATCAGAGCTAGCTTACGCTACCCACATAGCAGCTGACTCCGCGCCAGATCCGCCTGCGTCTCCGCAAATCCGGCAGACGGTGCTATCTGCATTTACGCATCTGCACCGGAGTCAGCGTAACGACTGTGTCACTCTGCGGAACAGGGGCGCGCTTGCTCCACATCCGGGAACGTTACGGATGGCCAATCGCTGTGTGAATGCGCTGCGGATCTGATCCAGAGCCTCGCCGCGAAACCGTTCAAAAATTCGCAACGGTTTCCAACGGTCTACCAGATTTTGGCCAGGATGGAGCCATTAAAACTGGTTGGTCACATCTCATGTCTTATTAACTAATACTGCTATCAGAGTCACGATTAATAGTCATATTTTTGATAAGAAGGAAACTTTTAAGTGTTATTTTTCTCTTTCTTTGTATCGTTAGCTAGCTAGCTAGCTTGAGGGCTGTACGTTAGCGGCTATGCTAGCTAGTTTATCAGTGACACTAATGTTATTAAAGACGAGAAATAAATCTTAAATAAGAGTGTCTGGGCAACGTAGCTTTATAACGCCAGTTAAATTACCGAATGAATGTGAAATTGACATTTTTTCATTCGAATGGTCTGTTCCACCTTAAAAGGCGCAGTAGTCAGTAGCCCTGCTGCACCGTTTAAGGTGGAACGGAAAATTCACATAACAAGCTGGCTAACAAGACTCTTCAGCCTCATTATTACGACAGAGGCAAGGTGCTTTTTTCTGGCAATGTGAGAAAACTAATCTTGAACACGAGTTAATGTCCAGATAACTTTGTTTTTCGTTACTAGAGATACAAATACAATTAGCCTTTACTTTGCTAGTTACTGTACTAGCTAGCTAGTTAGGTTAGCTTATCAGTAACGTAGCTATCAAGCTAACGTTAGCTGAAATGTACTTATTTAAGATATAAGTTAATTATTTTACTTGGTAGTCACACAGCCCTTGCTACGTTTGTCTGAATGAGTGTAAATTATAGTGGACGTGTTATTTTTAGTTACTCAAAGAAAGAATTTTTCATTTTTATTCACTGCTAAAGCTTGTTAAAGCAGTAAATCCTGTGCCAGGTACACACACGTGAAGAAGTACGTACGATATGAAGAAATATGTAGAAAATTTAACAGATGTACATTTCAAAAGGATGCTTTCTGTAGTGATAAATGAAGTTGTACACCACTAAAAGTAATGCACACATGCATTCAGTTAATCATTATTTGTTTTTATTTATGATTTATTACTTATTTTTGCAGGTTGTGTCTTGTATGGAGATAACTGAATATTGAAGGTAAGGCTCTTCATTCTCTCTTTCGCAAGTATAGTGTATGCAAATGAAACTGCATTACCCATTTTCCTGCATGTTGAATACACAAAGCTTGTCTCCATTTCTTTTACTTTTTATTGTCCCAATTCCTAAGCTTAATAGCCAAATTGAGAGTCTGTCTATATCTACAACTCTCTGTCTGTCTATATCTATCTACAACTCTGTCTCTCTGTGTCTGTGTATATCTACAACTATCTGTCTGTCTATAATCTATCTACAACTCTGTTTGTCTGTCTATCTACAACTCTGTCTATTTGTCTGTCTACAATCTATCTACAACTTTCTGTCTATCTACAACTCTGTCTGTCTGTCTGTCTATCTACAACTCTGTCTGTCTATCTATCTACAACTCTGTCTATCTGTCTGTCTGTCTATCTATCTACAACTATTTGCCTATCTGTCTATCTACAACTCCCAGTCTGTATCTGTCTATCGTTTTCTTTTTTCATTTCACACTTTTTTTTATTTTGTTGCTTTGCAAGCTCTGGTATTTCCTTCAGGAAATGCATATCTAGTTATTTATGTTTTCACGTAGGAGCTGTACGGAAATGCAAAGTGAGCAGCAACACCACAGAAGAGATTTCCAAACATGCTATCCGATGGTTCAATCTTGCATCAGACCGCGGAGGCGGACGCTGGGAGAGATACAGGTTTGTGTTGCAACCTGGTTTGAACTTATAGTGAACGATATACAGGTTCATCAGAGTTTTATGTTAAGTTTTTTGCCCAGGAGCGCTGGTGCCCCTGATTTTAAATAGGAGAGCAGGGAGCGCAGAATCTGCAATTACCAACTTAATATGAACTTTTTATTCTTTTTTCTTTATTCCTCAGAGAGGATGGTAATACAGAAATCAGATTTTTCTACATAGTCCAAGCCCTTAAGGGTTACCTGAACAAAATTAAGAACTGCCATTTTCAGTTATTTAACAAGTGTTATGTCCATTTCTTGCAGTCTTCTTAACTTTGTATTTTTATCTAATCAACACAAAAGCATGTTTTTGTCTCAGTAGTCCTTATTAGTTTAGCCTGTGATTTTTTTTTCCAGGTAGACATTTCTTACTGTAACTTCTTGATAGTTTCACATTGATTGAAGTAGTATTTTCTATCAACTAATCAAATCAGTCTGCCTTTCTTTAAACTTGGAAGTACATTGAGGGGGGCTCTCATTTTAAATAAAGCTAAACATATACAAAAACAGGGATTAAAGGAAGCAATAACACAAACAATAAATCAGTAAAATACCAAGTGAAATTTAAGAATATAAGTCAAATCATAAAATAAGAACATTATTTATACTGCTGGCTCTGGTCTTTTGTAGAAATTTCTACCAATTCACTTGTACGTATACTATGTACATGCTTTTGAGAAGCTCTTTTGTGAAAGCTTAAACATGTGCTAAGTGCTACTCACTGTACTTCCTGATTACATACAATTATGAACTAATTGAGTTTCTCAGTCGTGATTTTTTTTTTCTTTCCTTTTGTTTCTTTCAGGTCATCTACAGCTCTTCAAACCACAGAGGGTTAATAATTCACTTTTGGAAAACACAAAAAGGCGCTAAATGTTAAGTGTTCAATAAATATTGTATTCATATTCAATACAGTTTTTGAATTGTTCTTGGTTTTACCTGTTTTGTAACTGTTCTTAACTGACTTTTTGTGCTGTGATTGAAGAGTTAATTTATGCAAGTAAAAGAAATATTCAGTGTTGATACAGATTACATGAAAAATGAATTTTACCTCTATCTGATTTTGTAATGCTTAGCATATTTAAAAATTATTATTATTATTATTATTATTATTATATATTACACATTAATAGGATATCAGTATTATCAGGATATCAGAAACACTCCATTCTGGAGAATCTTATAAAGTCAGAACTCTTCACAGTGGTGGTAGATGGAACCAGACATCTGAACCTCTAAAAGCTCCCTCATTACACCAAATGATTACACTCCCTGAGATGCTGTTTCACCATAGTCTGGAATAGATTTCAGGTCTAAAACATTTTTTAGATACATTAGAAGGATATGGCAATATGGTCCCAAAATAATCTTTTCAGGTTTCCCACTATTTTACCCCAACATTCCATATAAACTCAGAGGACACATGTAGGTTCACTGGTGGTTTTGGATAGTAAATAAAATGGTTATTTGTAGTATTTGAGTTGTAGTCATGGTAACCCTTGGTTCCTGTCACCACCATTGTAAAGAATACGTTTCAGCAAGAGTCAGTAAGTTTCTCTACAATTAATCATTTCATGTCAAACCACCAAAGTTTAATTTTATTTCCCAACTCTTCAATTAGACATTTATTAAGAAATACATTTTGTTTGTGAAATAATTTTGTATTTCAGGTTACCCACTCTGGTCTTAGAGTACCCCTGCCCTGCATATTTTAATGTTTTCCTTGATGTATATGATGCAGCTAATGTATTTAACAAGACCTGAGTAATGTGGGTGTGTGGGAGAAGAAAAACACTAAAATATACAGAACAGATAGTCCTAGACCATGGTATATTTAACACAGAGAAACAAACTAGTCTAAACATCTAGTTATTTCTACTTTTAAAATCAAATAAACTAATTATTATTTAGTTAGTAATTGAATTAAATAATGTCTAGTGTTAGCATAAATTATTCAATTATGTCATGTAAGGAAAAACCAAAACTGCCAGAGGAGATGTGGATCCACGCCAGCAGGAGTGCGGATGCAGGCCGGAGGAGGTGCAGATCTGGGCCGGAGGTGTACGCCTCCGGTCCAGAACTGATCCAAATGTAAAATGAGGATACGGATGTGGCCCGGATTTGGGCTGTATGAGTAAAGAAATCACTGAAAACTGGCCCAGTGCGGTGCAGTGCGGTGTTGGCCCAAATCCGCAAACCGGATCTGTACCAGTATTGGCCCACTGTGCAAAAGGACACAGGGCCAGATCCGTTTTACGGACCTGGGCCGGAGCTTTTGGATGATTTGTGCCGGATCCGGGCCAGATCATTTTTGCTATCTGGGTAGCATCAAGGTTTGGTTTCTTGATCAGAGGTTTAATAACTGCTAGTTTAAAAGCTCTGGGTACATGGCCCAGGCTAAAGGATGAGTTTACTGTAGGTAAAAGAGGATTAATGATAACTGGAAGCACTTCTTTGAGTAATTTTGAGGGGATTGCATCAAGTGTGCAGATTGTACAATTTGCAGAGGAGATAATCTCTAGTTCTGGCTGTGGTAGTGGGTAGAAAGTTTCCAGCCTTTCCTCTGCAACTACGTTATGTTTTATATCAGCCACGTCAGATGATTTAATACTGTGGGTTGAATTTGTTGTCTAATATTTTCAATTTTATTATTAAAAAAGTCCATAAAAACTTCACTGGTGAGAGTCGCCGGAATTTGTGGTTCAGTACCTGCCTGATTTTTTGTAATTCTGAGTTATTCTACGTTTAGATTTAGATTTAATTCGGGGCACAGACACAGTCTGAATACAGTGGAACCTAGGTGACACAACTGGTCTCATATTTGTATTTATAGAATAAGCTTTTTTATCAGCACTTGCCTTATTTACAGTATAAGTGCTAGTAATCGTCTTATTTTCAGTGCTAACATTAGCATTATAAGCTGTAGCGTCTCTATTTTTGGCACTACTTACGTGGCCTTCGCTGTGTAGTCGGCGGATGGCCCTCTCGATGTTCCTAGAGAGGACAACAGATTCAACATGACTGGGGTGGAGGCCGTCCCTCCGGTAGAGCGCTGGCTGTTCCCAAAACGAGGCCCAGTTGTCCACGTAGCCCAAGCCATTGAAGGCGCACCAGCCGCGGAGCCAGGACTGCAGCGCGAAGATTCATGAGAATATTCATGAGAGTATTAAACATAGTTATTATATATAGTACATTTTTGTTGCTAATGAAAATAAGCAATTCCATTGGGTCCAAGGATAAATGAAGGACTGATAATGAATGTTAGAGTGTGATTCAACAAATTATTATAATAATACAATAAACAAGTGTTGAAAACGATTCCAGAACAGATTCGTGCTTCTTTCTTTTTGTCATTAATGACTATAACTAAACAAAAGAAGAATCCATTTTGGCTTAAATTAGTGTTTCACAATGAAATTGACAGATATATAATTGATACCTGACAGCTCTTTTGCAAATCCCTTCAACCCAAAAAATTATCTTGTGTATTTTGTAAATGAGAAGGATATGTCCCCACGTCCCCTCCTGAATTTACACCAGTGCTTAGAACACCAGGCATTGCTTTTGACCTATCCAGTAATGCTTACTTTCAGCACAATGGGCCCATAGGAACTGCAGTCCCTTTGGTACGGGTGTGGGACTCTGTTGCATTGCCATCTGGACACATTCAGTCCCCTTTGTCTCATGAATGATCTGAAATAAATAGAAATTACTAAGCTGAGAAGTAGAGAAACACTTATTTATCCTCATTTTCACAGAATGCTAGATTTACCTTGTCACCTTTCCAGGTTGTTTCTTCTTTCTCCTAGAGGTTCTAAGTACAGAACCCTCTTGTCTGATGGGATCACAACCTTGCATATATAATAAATTAACTTTATTAAATAAAATTAAACACTCACACCCACCCACATATACACACAAATTAAGACTGATTCTATTAATATTATATTACTGGCAAGCAGTCCAAAGCAGTCCATGTATGAATTGAAAAAAGAACCAGTGTATGAATAAGCTATGATCGTGTTTTAGAATATATTTGTACAGCAATGGATCCAGGTCAAAGTTAAAATTAGTTATTGATTATCTAAAAATATTTCAACCCATCAAATATAAAATCATTTAATTATTTCACAACAAAAAAAGAAATGCACTAACTTTCACTTTTACCCACTTGTGATTCCAAATGTTCAACATTTCAAATATATCAATGGCCACAGCTTTCTCAGGGGACTCTCTGTTGAAATCCTGAATGATGAGGTACATGTAGGCATTCATGACCTGACAGAAATGAATCAAAACAAGAACGAATTTGTTGCATAAAGACACAAATAAAGAGGTTCAGTTGCACTGGTAGGTCAAATATAACTGCTACAATGACAATTCAGAGCACATTCTCTCTACCAATAGTTCTCAAACCAGTCCCCACAGCGTACCTAATTAACAAGTTGGGTTGGCTGTGTCAGTAAAACACAAAATTGTGTAAAACATGGGGCCACCATGACAGACTTTTGTCTGTATTCACAACAATGAACACGTGGTACAGGTGAGATACAGGTACAGGCCCTTGATCAGTGCACTTTACGTCTAACATATTTGTTTCAAGATTTTCACTCACCTTCACACCTGCGTAAATGTGATGTGACAATAAATGTGGTTTGAGTTGATTTGGTTTGACAGTTTATATTTTTGATGTTGCAATTTCGATGTTGAGGAGTGTGTATATATATATATATATATATATATATATGTGTGTGTGTGTGTGTGTGTGTGTGTGTGTATGATGTTCATAAGGTAGATATCTAAAACTTGAATTAATTAAGCCTTCATAATCACATTATCATAGACATTATCATAAACTGATCATTAGTGCATAGGACTTACTTTCACATTTTTTGAGTCATGTTGATTAACACATTAATAAACTACTTATAACATCTAAAATGTTAGTCCTTATTTGTTTCCATTTGTTAATTATTAATTGCTACGTTACTTAACCATTTAGTAATGCTTATTACTTTTACGTACAGTGAGCAGATGCACTGTTATTGTGAAGTGCCAGCCTTCTCCTCTTAAAATTATGCCAAAGAGAATCTGAAACAGTGTTAAAAATAGAAACTATGTTCCCAAAAAGGAAACTTACTACGTATTTGTTTTATGGATTTTTAACTGTTGTTTCAAAACAATCTGAAGCAACCAATAAATGACATACAATATATTGTAATTGTTCATTAGCCATAAATATAACTAAAACTAAAATCAATTATAAGACACCAATACTGACATACTGGTATAAAAGAATACAACACAGAGCAATAGCAGCTACAGAATAATTCAACAACTCACTAGTTTTACTGAAAAGTACATCTCAAAATGAATACCTGAATAGTAAGTCTGCAATTTGAGGTGTCAATTATGACCGATGTCTTACCTCACTTTCAATCTGCATATTAGGAGCAGTCCGACGTATATCTGCAAAGTAAATTTTGTATGGCCCTATTTTTGTCAAGAGCACATACACGTCTTTCCCTTCCCATGCTTCAGTCAGACCTGTGAAATTTAAAGTAAAAAGATGAACGTAAATGAACACATATTTCCTTTTACATGATATGAAACAGGGAACAAAAGAAAAGGAAAATAATAATGACATGAAATTTTGTTTTACTAAAACTATAAACATACATTGATATGTGTCAATATTAGATTGTGTTGCTGGTGTGCCAACATCGTCTGCTGGGATGGCAGCTGCTTGTATGGTAAATGACAAGAAGAGAGCAGGAGAGACAGGCTACACTGACCGGAGAGGCTGTGGTAGCTGTAGAAACTGTGTGGCCTGCAGGGGCTTGAATGGCAGGTGCTCCTGTGGAGGTGGATTCTTGCTTGCTGTCTGAGGCAAGAAAAAAAAGTCAGCTAGTGCTGCAGCGTCAGGTCATCAGATGTAAGCTTTAGTGCTCCAGGCAGAGGTTTAAGGCTGTGTTTAATGTGTCGTAATACTTATCGTTATGACTGAAAGGCTTTCAGTCCCACTAGTTCTCAAGCACAGCAACAACAACAATCGTTTTTATTTCGTAATATTAAACTAAACCATCGCGGTGAGAGTCTTTGTTTGGCTTTAGATCCTGTTGTGTTGTTTGCTGTGAAGGAAAATTAAAGATAAAGTGTTGTTTACACACAGAAATAACCTAAAAAAATCCTGAGTGCAGTCCGTAACGGCCACACGATTATGTGAAGCGCGTGCACGCGAGGGGGGAGTCGGATTCTGCCAGGGAGTCGGAATTCGGCACAACCACTTTATGCCCCATGCCAAATTGCCAAGAAGAAGAGACTTTAGACCATTTTTTATTCAACTGTTATCGCTCTCAAGAAGTGTGGGAGATGGTTAAGGATATGGGTTTAGAAATAAATATACATATGAAATCTATAATATATGGGATTTTTGATGAAAAAGTAGATAATAGGAAACATGAGTTCTTGTGGTTTATCATCACTATTGTAAAGTCTAAACTTTGGAAAACAAGATGTCGGATGACCATAGACCGACAATTCGTGTCCAGCAGAAACGTTTTTAAACAAATTAAAATTGAACTAAAGAGACTGCGGACGTTGAACACGCCATTCAAAGACGCTGACTTGTGGGACATTTTTGATTTGTAAGGTGTTAAGGTATGTGTATGTATATGCTGTCTTTCTTATGCTCTGTCTGTTTATATGTTGAATTGTTGCTAACTAAATAAAGTTTCTAAAAAAAAAAAAAGGAATTCGGCACAACATCGGCCTCATGCGTGTGCTTCACTCGCTCCAGCAGAGCTGGTTTTACTAATGGTCAGCGAGGCGCTCGGTCGCTGGAAGTTCGCCCACGTCCTCGCCGAGGCTCTCCCCGAACGCGCCGTTGAGCTCTCCGAAAGTTCACGCCGCCGTTTTCCACCGATTATCGCGCCAAATACGCCGTCTCTCGTTCGGAGCGGCGACCGCCCGGCGCCCTTTGGAGAGCGCTCTGTAAAACGAGGCGTCGCTGCGCGCCCATTCCTGGACTCAGGACACACAGCAGAGCCTCTTCTAGAGGAGCGAGCCGCTGGACGCTCGCCGAGCGGCGCCTTCGCTCGTATTTTGCCCGATAAATGCCACGAGAAAACACAAATCTTAGCGCGTCACTGAGGCACGGCCACAAAGCGCCCGCCTGGTTGAGTCTACCCCGTTCTCATGTGCCTTTTAAGGGGCCGGCTCCCCGCCTGAGAGGGAGGTTCCTCTGAACAGTGCAGTCTGAGCTCATTGTTGCTGCGCTCGCAGCAAAAGCAGAACGATGGCAGAAGTCGCTCCCGCTCCAGCCGCCGCGCCGGCTAAAGCTCCCAAGAAGAAAAGCGCCGCCCGGCCCAAGAAAGTCGGCCCCAGCGTCGGCGAGCTTATCGTCAAGGCTGTTTCGCAGTCCAAGGAGAGGAGCGGCGTGTCTCTCGCCGCCCTCAAGAAAGCCCTGGCTGCCGGCGGCTACGACGTGGACAAGAACAACTCCCGCGTCAAGCTCGCCGTCAAGAGTCTCGTGACGAAGGGCACTCTGGTGCAGACCAAAGGCACCGGCGCGTCGGGCTCCTTCAAGCTCAACAAGAAACAAGCCGAGGCCAAAAAGAAGCCGGCGAAGAAAGCAGCGGCCAAACCCAAGAAGGCGGCCGCCAAAAAGCCCGCCGCGGCCAAGAAGCCCAAGAAGGTAGCGGCGAAGAAGCCCGCGGCCGCCAAGAAATCGCCCAAAAAAGCCAAGAAGGTAGCGGCGAAGAAGCCAGCGGCCGCCAAGAAAGTCGCCAAGTCTCCCAAGAAAGCCAAGAAGCCGGCGGCCCCGAAGAAGGCGGCCAAGAGCCCGAAGAAAACAAAGGCCGTCAAGCCCAAAGCAGCGAAGCCCAAGGCGGCGAAAAAGGCCGCACCCAAAAAGAAGTAAACGTGCCGTTCACCTTCATGTCCTGTTTCTCTTATTGAAAAAACGGCTCTTTTAAGAGCCACCCACATTTTCCTCTCAGAGTTAGATTCTCCTTCGTGCTGCACTTAAAAACTAGTCACTACTAGTCAGTAGTGATTTTATTGGAAAGCGCCAGGTTCGATATAATAATCCAGTTGCTATTTGCACTTACATGGATGAGAATAGGAGCGGGAATGTCTTTATCTCTTTCTCTCTCAGTTCAGTTCAGGTTTACGTTACTGACATGACAAATTTGCATTTGTATTGTTAAAGCACAGAAAATAATATATAACAAAAGTTATATATACAATAATAGTAATAATAAGTACAAAACAAAAATTGATAAAACAAGAGAAAGTTTAATTAATAAGTATAATAATACAATAATTAAAAACCTATTTAATATGTGTCTGCAGCACATAATTTATCTTTATCTCCCAAAGGATCTTCTGTTATTTGTTATTTTTCTTTCTCTCTCACTCACACACACGAAGGGGAGGGGGAGAAGCAGAGGACTTGAGATGAGCGGTGGGCGGACCCTAAACTTGATGACACTAATATTATTGGTTGTTGGAGGTCATGGCATTGTAGCCAATAGAAACGTAGCAGCGTTGCCTTTATGAAGAGCGATCGGAGGCCGTTGACTTTTATTTCGATTTAGTTCAACAAACTGAAGTGAAGTGTAAAATGAGTGGAAGAGGGAAAACCGGAGGTAAAGTTAGGGCCAAAGCCAAGACTCGCTCCTCCCGCGCCGGGCTGCAGTTCCCGGTGGGCCGTGTTCACAGGCTGCTGCGCAAAGGTAACTATGCCGAGCGCGTTGGCGCCGGCGCTCCCGTCTATTTGGCTGCTGTGCTGGAGTATCTGACCGCTGAGATCCTTGAGTTGGCCGGTAACGCCGCTCGCGACAACAAAAAGACCCGTATCATTCCTCGTCATCTGCAGCTGGCTGTTCGTAACGATGAGGAGCTCAACAAACTGCTCGGAGGAGTGACCATCGCTCAGGGTGGCGTGCTGCCCAACATTCAGGCTGTACTGCTGCCCAAAAAGACCGAGAAGGCGGCTAAGACCAAATAAACGTTTTTCTTTTTCCTGTTAAATGGTAAACAACCAAAGGCTCTTTTAAGAGCCACCCACCTTAACAACAAAAATGCGATTTTCTATTTCTTTATCTCTCCTCTCATGCAAAAAAGCGGCGGTCTATCAATTGTTACAGGTTATTGTGTACATTAGAATAAAATAAAAGAATCAAAGCATCACCACGTCCCACGATTAAATACTGAATAAAACTTAAAAGCTCTTATTCTACTCGAACAAAAGACGAATAAACAGACCTGGACGTCTGTATAACTATGCGAGTGAAATAACAGGCGTGTAATAATGAATGAACCAAAAATCTGAGTTACATTACACCGGACGTGTAAAACAAGAATGTGGTTCAGGAGCCCGCCAAGGCGTTGGGGAGTGTCTTGTTATTTGAAAATGTGCGCGTGGCAAACGACGCCCAATAGCGTTTAGCCAACGCGTGGGCAGCCGTCCAATGGAAGGCGGGCACATTCAAGACGTCCAATGAGCTGCGCGCAGCTCGAACCCTTAAAACGGCCGAGATATGCGCGCGAAGTTATTATACTTCTTTGTTAGAGAAGAATAGAGTTTGACAACATGGCAAGAACCAAGCAGACCGCCCGTAAGTCCACCGGTGGCAAAGCCCCGAGAAAGCAGCTGGCTACTAAAGCTGCTCGTAAGAGCGCCCCGGCCACCGGCGGCGTCAAGAAGCCTCACCGTTACAGGCCCGGTACCGTGGCTCTGAGGGAGATCCGCCGCTACCAGAAATCCACAGAGCTGCTGATCCGCAAGCTGCCCTTCCAGCGCCTGGTGCGGGAGATCGCTCAGGACTTCAAGACCGATCTCCGCTTCCAGAGCTCTGCCGTCATGGCCCTGCAGGAGGCTAGCGAGGCGTACTTGGTGGGTTTGTTCGAGGACACTAATCTGTGCGCCATCCACGCCAAGAGAGTCACCATCATGCCTAAGGACATCCAGCTGGCCCGCCGTATCCGCGGAGAGCGCGCATAAATTAAACGGCGCGCTCCCAGGTTTCCCCAAAACACCCCAAAGGCTCTTTTAAGAGCCACCTAACTGTTTCAGTCCAGAAGAGTAACTGTCCCAGTCAACCCGAGTTCATTTACGTGCTGTGACTGTGTGAGGAGTGTCCGTAGTGTAGTGAAGTAGTTGAATGATGTGTGTAATACGGACATGTGACACTGGCTTTCTGCCAAGAACTACAAACACCAAAAAAAAGAAATATGTATATATATATATATAACAGACTGCTCTTGGACGTTCAGTAATATATAAGTTCTGCTGCTAATTTTTATACACATACAAATCTGTAGGTGTGTACATGGGCTTATACATTTATATAACTAGTTCATAGTGCTACAATACCTACACGATAGAGTAACTACGGGCAAAGAAATTGCGCGGGAAAATGAACCGGAATGCGGTAAATCCCTAAGTAACATTTTTCCTCACCTCAAAAAAACACCGTGCTTTCACTCACATAACGGAAAAAGCTCTTTAAGCGGAAACATGGGGGGGCTCTTAAAAGAGCCGTTGTGTTTATCGTTGCTCGAGTCGAGCGTTTAACCCCCGAAGCCGTACAGGGTTCGTCCCTGACGCTTCAGGGCGTAAACCACATCCATGGCGGTGACGGTCTTCCTCTTGGCGTGCTCGGTGTAGGTGACGGCGTCCCTGATCACGTTCTCCAGGAACACCTTGAGCACGCCGCGCGTCTCCTCGTAGATCAGACCCGAGATACGCTTGACGCCGCCACGGCGAGCCAGACGGCGGATAGCCGGTTTGGTGATGCCCTGGATGTTATCGCGGAGCACTTTACGGTGACGCTTAGCGCCTCCTTTACCCAGACCCTTACCGCCCTTTCTTTTTTTAGAAACTTTATTTAGTTAGCAACAATTCAACATATAAACAGACAGAGCATAAGAAAGACAGCATATACATACACATACCTTAACACCCTACAATTCAAAAATGTCCCACAAGTCAGCGTCTTTGAATGGCGTGTTCAACGTCCGCAGTCTCTTTAGTTCAATTTTAATTTGTTTAAAAACGTTTCTGCTGGACATGAATTGTTGGTCTATGGCCATCCGACATCTTGTTTTCCAAAGTTTAGACTTTACAATAGCGATGATAAACCACAAGAACTCATGTTTCCTGTTATCTACTTTTTCATCAAAAATCCCATATATTATAGATTTCATATGTATATTTATTTCTAAACCCATATCCTTAACCATCTCCCACACTTCTTGAGAGCGATAACAATTGAATAAAAAATGGTCTAAAGTCTCTTCTTCTTGGCAATTTGGCATGGGGCATAAAGTGGTTTTCACAAAGCAGCTCCATCTTACTACAGCTCTCACTGGCAGCCTTCTTACGGCCATCAGCCATGAGAGATCTCCATGTCTGTCAGAAAGTTTTTTACACAGAAGATTTTTAATACACGTGTCATTTTCTTCTCCTACAAGATTTCTAAATTCTACCTTTGAGCCGTACTCTTCATCAGTTATTAACCCATATATCTTTTTATTTGAATCATTAATCCAATCAATATCTAAATGTTTGTATTTGTTTATAAAATCACCATATAACAACTTATAATAGGGTACTGATGTTCTAGCACGACCCTTTTTTTTGTTTCCAATTGGTAATATTTATAATATACCGCCCTTTCCTCTACCAGACATTCTACCTGCTTTCTTTTTTGCTTGATGAGAGTAGAATCAGTGATAGACCAGCGCGTCATACGCGCCTGTTATGCTCCTCTACAGGACCTAGTTGAAACCAAGGCACGGGAGGCGGAGCCGCGTATAACAGACACTACAGAGAAAACAGTAACACGATGGAATCAAGGAAAACACACAAAGCAAACACTGTCATGAAATAAACATCACTTGTATTATTATAACTATTCCTATACTATACTATATTATTGTACTATTACCAATACATTTTTTAGTAGTATCATTTCACAGCCTTCTAAATCGCACGTCATTGTAAGTCGAAATGTCAACAAGGAAAAGAACGAAAGACACCAAAATCAGAAAGAAAGAAATGTTATCAATTGTAAAACACACACACACACACACACACACACAAACACACACATCACCTAAACCGCTTATCTTTCTGGGTCGCGCGGGGTGGGGAAGGGTTGTGCTGGAGCCTATCCCAGCTGTCATTGGGAGGAAGGCAGGATACACCCTGGACAGGTCAATTGTAAAACATTTCATCTTAATTTACAAAGTATTTCATAATTACAAGTCACAGTGGGTTAAACTAGCCTGCTTTAAATGTAAAGCAACACACTGTTATGAAGTAAGAAGTCTGAAGGAGTAATATAATACCAAAACGCATGAATATGTATGTAAGAGTGTGTGTGTGTGTGTGTGTGTGTGTGTGTATTACATACAATGTATTAATATGTATGAGACAGTTAATGTAGGAAAGAACCGCTACAGCTCTCATGCGCGCCTCACTGATGAAGCTTGGGCGCCATCCTGTGGTCAAACCGTTGACCGTCAAGTCCGAGAAAGACCATTAGCCTCGTTACCGCAAATGCTGAACTACTGTAGGAAATGACGTGGCTTGGCCGTAATAATTATTGTAAAATTGTTGTAATTTTAGTTCGAATTGTTTTTACGCAGTAATTCAAGAAGTCACTCAGTAACACAATATTTCCACACATGAAAATGTTTCTGATTCCTCGACTTGCAGTTTCACTTTTTGACCACACGATGGCATCCAAGCTCCATCGATGACAAATCGCCCTCAGTCCAAAACCCCTGGGGCGGACTGTCTGCACTGTTTTCGCTTCTCTGATCAGCGAATTAATAATTAAACTACACACTGGGTGCTGCTATGGTCCTTCAGGAACTAATCATAAAATCAAATAGCAAACAAACGACAGTGGAATGTTTCTAAAACCTACATCACAACATAGTCCCAACGAAAACTTATTATTTATTTATTTATTTATTTATTTATTTATTTTCAGATGTACCACTATCTTACCATCATCAACATTGCATATAAACTCAGAAGACACGTGTAGGTTCACTGGTGGTTTTGGACAGAAATTAATAGGTCATATTCATGTTATAGATACCGTGACCCCTTAATCCTTATCACCACCACTGTAAAAGAAATTTGAGTCGCTAAAATGAAGTATTTTGCATCAAACCACTCTGAATGACGTTCTCATCCACAGAGAAATGATCATCAGTCCATTAGCAGATGACACCACACTTTTCATAAAAGATACCTGTAGCAATAAAGATCATACAGGAATTTTCCAAAGCCTCTGGACTTTTTTTAAACCTCAATAAATGTGAACTTCTTGCAATTAAAGACTGTGGGACAACTCATATATATATAAATACCTGTAAAGGAAGTGGGAACTTACTTAGGCATAAAACTCACACAGAACAGTCATAGAAGTGCTCTAAACTTTAACCCTATCATAGATGAAACAAACAAAGGCTAAATCTTTGGTTGCAGAGGGATCTATCAATAAAAGGAAGAACTCTTTTAACTAAAGCGGAAGCTCTGCAGACTAATTTATGTCACCACTCCACTACATGTTTAACAACCAGTTCTCTAAAATAATTGACAGCATGTTTGGAATTTCATACCTCATTATATTTTTTGGCCTCAGTTTCATTTTACTTTGTGATTATAAGATTGAAAAAATCCCCTTAAAGTGATCAAACTTTCATCAGCAGGTTTTATTGACTTGGTCCCTCATATATAAACATAGTCTTACACCACATACGTACTTTATTTAGAATAATAGATACATTTTACATAAAAATCAATCATTATTCTTCACAAAATGCTTTGAACATGGTGTTTTGTTGGTTTGTTGATTTATTGCTTAGTTATACAAGATTTTTATCCAAGTATAAGATTCCTATAACTCCTGAAGAATATGCAGGGTTATGGATGCATTCTGGTATTATTATGGTCTTTAAAGAGGCCCTTAAAGAGGAGCCCACACTCCAGACAGTCCTGAATCCAAAACATACTTTTATTGGTCAGATATGTTTCTCTATTCGCAGGCTGTTTCAAAGAGATGTCACTTCTGTTCCTTATGCAGTTACATATTGGGGTTCTCTTGTAAAAAATCCTGATTGGAAAATATTTGGACCTTACCTTCTAAATATCTGTTAACCAATAAAATAAAGGAAGTCTCTTATAAAATTAAACACAGATGCTGTCCAGTTAACCAGTTTCTTGCTAAATTTTAAAAAGCATATCAGTCTCAGCTGCTCTTTCTGTGATGTAAATCCAGAAACTCTTCTACACCTGTTCTGGCGCTGCTCCACACAGAAAGCTCTGGAAGGATGTGTGTAGGTTTATCATGGATTGTACTGACCCTGACTTTAATCTCTCTTTGGTTAATGTGTTGTTTGGCTTCAGTCGTTATAAAAATAATAAAGTCAAAGAATATAATATTATTAATTTGATCATTCTTTTGGCAGAATTTCATATACATAAATGTAATTTTACTCACTCCAAACCAGATTTTCTCAAATTCGAAATAGAAGCTAAACAATACATAACTTCTGTTACCCTCCCCAAAAACAAACAAACAAACAAACAAAAAAGCTGTCAAAACAGTGAATTTATGCCCCTTATTTAATTTGTTTTTTGTGTTCTTTCCCCTGGCTTTTTTTCTTCTTTCTTTTTTTTTATTTAAACTTTGTTGTTTAAATTTGTTACCACATTTTTTTCTTATGCAGTTTGTTATCTGACTTAACTACATCTGTTCTGCTCTATACTGCTCTTGTACAAACGTAATGATCTAACGAACAATTAAAAAATATATAAATAAATAAAAATAAACAAAATATATTGGCCTTTCGAAATGAAATACTGAACTTTTACTGGTGACTTTTATTGTGAAATATATCATGTGCTGTGACCGGAAGGTGGTGGCGGAGTCTCTCGCCTGTCACCGACTGCTATAAACACAGCAGACGAATATGCGGATATTAAACACGACGATATTAATAAGATACCGATTATTCAGGGTCGTGGAAACAGATATTTAGCTAATTCCGTCGATGATAGTTGTCCGTTGTCAGAGCTTTGTTCGTTTGTTTCGGGGACACTGACTGATCGCGTTTTCCGCTGAGCGAAATCAGTGAGGAGAAAAGCGGAATCTCGGTAGAAAAGCCTGGATGTTCAGCCTGGATCCCTCCGTCCGCTGCAGTGAGTAGATTTCTCGACCCACTCGTTAAATTTACACGCTCGGTGCCTCTTCGTCCGCGAACACCAGCCAGCCAGCAGCCAATAGTTCATCCAGGCTTCTCTTGAAATCATAGGTATTAATAGATTATAGATTATAGATTTGTCTCCTGCTCTGCTGCAGTAACAGCCTCTGCGCTTCACTGTAGCTGGATCCTGCGACGTTGCTGTGATGGCATTCATCGTCAAGAGCATTAGTCAGGCATTGATGTTAGATGATTGGTTCTAGATCACTCCAGCTCATTCCAAAGGTTCTGGATCAGAAATGTCATCACACAGATACTGGATGGAGCACCATCACACCAGAGAACAGGAGTTCCATCACTTTTACATGGAGATTGTTCAAGCTGTGTTCTCAGCTGGACGCCTGTATCAGAGTTAGCGCACAGTTGAGGTACATAAGCCATACACATCTACTAGGTAGACTATTTGGGGGTTCTCTGTTTTTATTTTGCCAGCAAATCACCAGCCAGAATGTTTCCTTTCTTTATCCCAGTGTAACCTTTAGGTCATCCTTTTTCCCTGCAGGTGTGATGAGCTTGTGTTCTGAGGGAACTGGCTGTTAGTGCCGCAGTACGGGAGGATGAACGCAGAGGAGGTGGAGCTGCTTGGTGACTCTAAATACAGGAACTGCGTGGCGGCTGTGGACAAAGCACTGAAAAACTTTGAGTCCTCCAGCGAATGGGCTGATCTCATCTCAGCTTGCTTGGCAAGCTCAACAAGGTCCTTCACTCTGTCTCTGTCTCATAAATCAGTTTTACTGCGGTTAATATGTTACTGTCGCTCTGGCCAAAATGAAAAATGTAATCATTGCTAGATCCGTTGTAAAAATCCTATTATTTTAACTCTCTATTGCACAATGTTGCCTCTAGGCAACAAACCCATTTTTCTCACTTTACACTAATATTAACATTTAACAATTTGTCAAAGTATGTTTGTTGCCTAGAAGCAACATTGTAAGGCAGTGGAATGGATTTTGCCAGTCAGAAAGCCAGATCTCACCACTTTAGGGAATACATTGTAGCACAATGTTGCCTCATGGCAACATACCCCAGATGGACCCCTGCACACATTGACATTTTACAGTGTTTTTGAATTTAATAATTTTTTTTAACGAATTCATGCAAGAAAATGTGAATTGATTTTCATCAATAATGCATGCAGTAGAGGGTAAAGCCTTCTCCGTAGAGCAGGATTTTCTAGTTTTAGTACTAGGAAAACGCCTTTCTGATTTCTGATCATGTGTCTTGAAGGTGGAAGTACATTTGGAAACACTACAAGTGCTTTGGGTGGATATTTCACTGAATTAGTACTTTAACAAAGAAAAATGTTTGATGACCATTGAGATAAGTGCTGTATCACTAATGCTAGCCAGCACCACATGTGTGTTTGTTAGCCTCTAGATCAGTGGCTATCAGTCAGGATTTGTTGAGTGTCGTAGGGTTTATTAAGGGTTGTGGAATGTATTTGCATGCTAGGTATTGTAGTGAGAGAACACTGATGGACAGAAACATGAAAATAATACAACATTATGAATGCTGCACTATAAATACTACATAACATCATAAATAACATAGTCATGCTTGTTTGCTTCTTTAAACCCCAATCGTGAATCGCTATGGTCCTTTCAGGATTAATTATGAGGTTTCCAATGGAAAAGCACTGTAATTAGTAGGTTTATTAGGGTTGTAGTTATTACTCAGAATCATTAGTTGTTGTAGTATTAAAGTCTGTTATACAAGTATAATGAATCTTTATGTTTAATATCTCTTATTCTTGCTGTGTCTTCACAAAAGATCTGAATACCTTGTGCTGTACTGTAGTGTTTCACACATGATGTACTCAATAGGTACGGCAAAACAATGCCAAGTACCAGGTTGTGCCTAAGAAGCTCACGATCGGCAAGTGTTTGGCTCAGTCCCTTCATCCAGCGCTGCCCAGCGGGGTCTATCGCAAGGCCTTGGAGACCTACAAGATCATCGGTCCCAAGCGGCTGGCCAAAGACCTGTTCCTGTACAGGTAAGGGGGCTGTGTTAGTACAAACAGTGTCCGTTTGAGTCGATTTGAACTGGCGAGTGTTACTATAGGAGCAAAAGAAAAACAGTATACAAAAATATATATTTTAATACAGTGCAGTGTGAGATGCAAGTGGATGTTATGTGTCATGTATCGCCACTGTGGGAACAAAACCTCATGTCTTCAAAATGGTAACTTTACAGGAGAAGGAAAAAACATACTTTACATTTAATGTAAGTCAATGGAACCAGACTTTTTTTACAAGTCATTTAAGGCTGTTTCTTTTTCATTCATTCATAATGAAATTTACACACAATGTAAAGAGCTACATTCATTATCAAAAATGGAGATACAAGGCTTTGTTCCAATAGCAGCAATATGTCATTTTAAGTCACAGTAACTGTATAAATCATAGTATTTATTTATTTTTGTAATTACCAAATCAAGCTAACAGACTTAGGTTTGAACTCTCATCTCTGTAACTGGATAGTGGGCTTCCTGATGAGCGACCCCAGGTGGTGAAAGTAGGAAACAGTTTCTCTTCCACACTGACTCTGAGCACCGGGGCTCCCCAGGGATGTGTGCTCAGCCCCCTCTTGTGCTCCCTGTATACACATGACTGTGTAGCCAGACACACATCTAACATCATCTTCAAGTTTGCTGATGACACCACCATCCTAGGCCTCATCACTGATGGAGATGAAACAGCCTACAGAGACGAGGTCAGCGCTCTGTCAGAGTGGAGCCATGACAGCAGTCTCTGTCTCAACATCAGCAAAACTAAGGAGATGATCGTGGACTACAGGAAGCTGCAGAGGGGTGGTCACTCTCCCCTGTTCATCAGTGGAGCCAAAGTGGACAGAAAGTCAGCAGTGTACACCTCACTGATGACCTCACCTGGTCCCTCCACACCAACACCATTGTAAGATCTGCCCGTCAGCGTCTCTTCTTCCTGCGCAGGCTCAGGAAGTTTGGTCTGCCTCCTCAGATCCTCACCAACTTCTACAGATGCATAGAGAGCCTCCTTACAGGCTGCATCACTGTCTGGTACAGCAGCTGCACTGCCTGCGACCCTAAGGCCCTTAAAGGAGTGGTGAGGAGTAGTGATGAGTCCATCATAGGCAAGAAACTACCATTCTTACAGGACGTCTACCAGTCCAGCTGCCTCAGGAAAATCAAAAAGATTCGGTCAGACAGGGTCACCCAGCACACAGCCTGTTCACCATCCTGCCATCAGGCAAGAGATTCCATAGCATCCAGGCTAGAACAACCCGGTTAATGAACAGTTTCTACCCACAGCCTGTCAGGCTTCTGAATAAGCTGTGAAGCTGTGAAGCTGTGAGCGTTTTACCCATTACCATTTCACCTGGTCACTTTGTTAGTATTCTTTATTATATCACTGCAGTGTTATGTTGATAATGATGAAATTGTGGTATATCTCAAAATACCATATAGTATATCTATATTTTTTGGGGGAGTACTGGTCTGGAAATGTCCCGCATGTGCCTCTCCACCGTGCATGTGTTTTAAAAAAAAACCTTTTAGGACAAAACTTTGTTGTTTTTTAAACAATATCTGAAGCATCCAGCAATGTATATGTAACCATTTCATATTATAGCTTACAGTGTGAGAGCTTCTAGATGCATTACATTCTTCAGACTTCTGGTTCCTATCACCACCACTGTGAACAATTCTGACTTGGTAAGATTCTCTAGAGTGTTTCACACCAAACCACTCTGAACCTCTCTGAACCACTGTGTTTACATCTTAAAGCTACACTATATTAGATTTGGGGATTCGGACACCTGTCTGGTCTCCCTGCCATAAGAACACTAAAAATACAGAAGGGTGATGAGTCAATCAAAGAGCAGGAATTATGCAGTGCTGAATTTTATTTGATATCAATCACGGCCCCGTTCACACACACATTTTTAGATCAAATAGAAACTGAAAACACGATCACAGTAACATTCTTTTATCTTTAATATCTGGGGCTCTCAAAGCTGAAGGGTTGATCCTTCTGTGGGCTTTTTGTCACACGCAGAAGGGTTCTCAAAGGAGCAGTTCAGATCAGATCAGGCTTTTGAAAGCACCTAAAACAAGAAAAAGATCCATTAGATCAAATTCAAGTGTCAAACTGACAGAAATGTTGGGCTACACTGGACCTGTTTACACCTCACATTAACATGCGTTTTGGTGATCGGATCTCGCTTGGATTGCGAATGGATGAAAAGCTTTCCACAGCACACACTGTGAGCAGATTACAATCGGGTCACTCAAAATTCGGAGGTGGTCAGAGACGGATCTTGACTACATTTAACACAACACAGAACATTATATTAGATATCTGAATGCAATTCATGAGCAGAAATGTGTCTGCTGAGTACTGACTTGTGGGGCGAAGGGACAAACAACAAAACAACTGTTTTATTTAATTAAAAACATTCCTGCACTCCAATCAGATGAAATGATCAGAGCCAGGCCTGTTTCCCGACAGTATCCCGACAGTGGGATAGGTTTTAGTGAAAAGTGTAATCGGAGTCCGGTCAAAGATTTTATATACGATCAGGACACAAAACACATGTAAATGCTAAATGTAAACAGACTCACTGTATTTTAGAAAGTAGAAAATAAAGAGACTCTGGGTGATGAACTTTCATTTGTTTTTGATTCATAACTTCAGTGTGAAACTTGGAAACAAACTTTTACTACAGAAGGTGGAAGAATGTTACTTTTGGAAGAAACTGCAGTTTAACCTAATGTTCATAAAGTGCACTGGGTGTCCTGTTAGCAGATCCACAGCTTTGTAAGTAAGAATCTCAAATTCTTCTCTAGTTTTCTTGAATCATCCCCAACCCTAACCTCAATGATTCTAAAATGCAGCGTTCATTCATTCTGCTGACTGTAATGGAAGTAACTATATGGATATGCAGTCAAATGCAAAATTTTTACTCAAATGTTTCATTTCTAAGTGAAACTAAGTTAACTCATTGTTGCTGTAGAGTGAAAGCATTTAAATGTGGCATTTGTTCTGCAAATTGTAGTGTACAATCTTGATGTATTTGCTGAAAAAATACAATATATAAAATATAAAAGAGGCTATAACTTATGCATAAGCATTTTTTTTCCAATGTGATAAAGTAAGTAAATAAATAGTCATTGTGCAATAAAATGGGTGTTAACATATTTTCAGTTAGGCCCTGTTCACACTGGCCCATAACATGCATACAGGTGATCTGATTGTAAGTGGACAGCACTAAGGGCAGGTGTGAATGGTGTACGGTACATCTCAGAGACATGCTGTGATCCGATCACCCAAAGCCCCTTCGGTGGTGGACAGCTAAATGTTTGACCACTTAACATTTACAGTGTGGACACTTAAGCATATTGATGCATCTTCAGCATTGAAGGACCACATTAATCAGCTGCATCATCACAGCAGAGACCAAATCAGCTGCGCAGCTTCATTTTCTTCTGCTTTACTGTTTGTTTACAGGTCATGTTTGTGGTTTATGTGGACTAAACATTGGAAACAGCCCTTTCATTTACACAAACATGGAATCATGCTGCATTTTTACATGACAACACACAGCAAGACATTGACGTAGTAAAAGTGGGTGGTACCTTCCTCCAGTCACTAAATCCAATCACACAGACATGCTAGGTCTGAGCAACTACAAGTCTCACTGTCCGCTAATGATCAGATCACTCGAGATGGATGTTGAAATTGAGTGTGAACAGGGCCATAGAAAATCAACTAAACGTGTGATTTGACCAGGGACACTTAAACTTTTGCATATGCAGCATGCCCTATGATCTAGCCTGTAATTTAAGATTCTGCACTGATTGATAATACAGCAGTTGTAAAACTTTCTCTTCTGCATAGTAAATATAAATAAACCCTCATTATAAAAAAAAAAAAAAAATCTGCATTTATGCTATAACCATTACAAACATCTATGACCCCAACACTGATGACCTCCACAGAAACAATAAAACAGTTCATGTCAGATTTTGGGTTTGGCGATGGTTGGCGTCTTAAACAGCCAAATTCCAAAGAATTCTGTTTACTCACCAGATCACTGCTCATATTTACACACAGACTTCCTCTTAATAAGTAATTCAGTTATAGTAAACATTTCAAATATATAGCGCCACCCTGTTACTATCACTGAGCACACTCCTATTGGAATGTACAACCCCATTTAAAAAAAAAAAAAATGTTGGGATGCTGTGCAAAATGTAAACCGAAAACAAAAAAGCATGTTTACCACTGTGTTTCATCACCTCTTCTTTTAACAACACTCTGTCAGCATTTGGCAACTGAGGAGACACTGCTGTAGTTTTGAAAGTGAAATGTCTTCCATTCTTGTTTGATATGGGATTTCAGTTTTGCTCAACAGTTCAGTATTCAGTATTTTTCATGGCAGCATATGTTGCTCCAAAACATATACATATACTTTTGAAATGTGTGCTGATAACAAGCCGGATGGTCTCTCTTCTCTTTAGCCTGGAGGACACAGCACTTATGATTTTTAAAAACAAATTTAAAATTTTGATTCGTTGGAGCACAGGACACTTTGCCTCAGGCCATCCTAAATTAGCTCGGGCCCAGAGAAGGTGGCAGCGTTTCTGGATCCTGTTTATATATGGTTCCTTTTTTCATGGTAGAGTTTTAACGGCAGTTGGGGATGCAGTGATGAACTGTTTTCATAGACAGTGGTTTTCAGAAGTGTTTCTGAGCCCATGCAGTGATTTCCTCTACAGAGTCATGTCTGTTTTTAATGCAGTGCTGCCTGAGGGCCCAAAGATCATGAATAGCCAATACTGGTTTTTGGCCTTTTCCTGTACATACAGAGATTTCTCTGGATTCTCTGAATCTGTTAATGATAGTATGTATCGTAGATGATGAAATCATCAAGTTCTTTGCTGTTTCACTGAGAAATGTTATTCTCAATGAATAATATTCTCATAGAAATGGGCTAATGTTATCTCGGTTTCAACATCTGATATGTTTGTCTTTGTACTGTATTTAAATACAGGCTTAAAATGATTTGTTCACAATGGGTTTCTTTTTTTATTTACATTTTGCACAGCGTCCCAACCTTTTTGGAAACAGGGTTTTAAATCATTCACATTTATCAGCCATTAGGTGGCACTTATTACTAAAAGACCTGGAATTTAATAAATACATTAAGTGCCTGGGCATCCTTCCTAGACATAACTGATTCTCTTGAAACTTCACCAACATTAGGAAACAGGGAAAGCTGTGCTGAGAGGCAAAATAATACCTATAAATATAAATAATACCTTCCAAGAAAACAAAGACGAGAGTGTCTCTCTTTCTATAAATCAAAAATAGAACATTTCTGTGCCTCAATCAAAGATACATAAACATAGATCAAAACAAAACTACAGAACTGAACTCGGCCTGGACAGCTCTCACTGGCCTCTTACATTAGTAACTCCTCAAACGGCTGCCATTATAACACTTATCTGTCTTTCCCATTAATGTCCTCTAACACACCTTCCAGATTAGTAACCCTAACCCTTTTTTTTTTTTTTTCTTTCTTTATTTCTTCTTTTTTTCCACCTTTTTCCTCTCTTATATATTAGTTGTTTTGTGCTAGTCAGTACGTGCTTCTCCTTAAAGGGACTGATCTTACTATGGATCACCACTAATAGGGTGTTAATGGTCCTCCAAGGTGGGGTGGGGTCAGAAAGATAAATAAATATAATCTGTACACCATGAACATAGCTTACACTCTATCCCAACACAAACCATACATTGAACAAATACAACACAATACATTTGATTTACTTCTTACTATGTGACTTATCTGAAGAAAAATCTGTAGAAAATCTTCTGAACTAAAACCGTTTCATTGGAATGTTCTTGTATGAAGAGATGAGAACATTAAATATCACTAATAGTCCTGCCTTAATTCATTTGAGTCATTTCATACAAGCTTGTGTCAGTTCGCTACACAAACACCATACGCTAAAGGTCGGGATCAATATTTATAGATTAAAAAATGCACAGTGGCTGACAAAAACCAGACTGTCAGGTACTCTTTTATAATAAAACAACATCAATAACAGCTTTCTATGACCAGCTACACAACGCAGAAAAAACAAAACTCACCAGTTTTGGCCTTTCGAGCACAGACAAAAGGACGTTTATAGTAGCAAACCAGATCATCCCAGGCTCCTGTAAGAATAGTGAAATATAAACTCATAATAAAAAAAAACACAATATTCCAATGATTATAACAGCATAGTGGTGAAAATATGGCAATTTAAGCATAATGCTATAATAAATATAAATGTAAATCATAAACATAATAAGACGACTATGCCAGAGAGATTTCTTAGAGAGATGAGCTTGTAGCCACAAGCAGAGCATGTGGAAACCTTTGAGAAAATTTTGAGAAGACCTCTTATCTCATTACCATAGTAGTTGGTCTGCAGACATTGTCCGGAGCCATTCGGCTCACCTGGGGCCCACTCAGCAAAGTCAAAATGAGAGCCATCAGTCCAGTACCAGCGATCACGAGCCTGAAGAACAACAATCTGAAATGAGTATCCATGTCCCAGAGAGAGGAGAGTGAGCGTGCAGAACACCGTGCTAGCTTAACTTACAGTCTTACTACGGTAGCCTCCGAGCCACGTTGCAATGTTCTTGTTAGAATGAGCGTGAATCAGACGCTTAATGAAATTGTCTTCATTCTCATCATGCACTGAAGCCAGATGTGCGTCGTTCCGCAAACAGGTTTTCTACAGGGAGAATTGAGAGAGACACACGTTTAACCAAGATGGACATTTACTTTAACCCAACCTGTTTGGACGTCTAATACATATATATATATATATATATTATATATATATATATATATATACTGAATGGGCAACTTTATAACATTATATCCTTACAACTAAAACATTATACACATTTAAAAACATACATTAAAACATAAAATTAACTCAAACTGGTTTAATGATCAAGCCTTCTAATGTGGAATGGTCCACCTTAAGGGTATTCTTTTCACAAAACATGGTGGTCTAGCCTGTACACCTGTAGGAACAGTATTGAACAAACATACCTCAGCCTCCTCCCATGTACTTTTGAAGCCAAAGAATTTGAACTCGTGAGATCCATGCGATTTCCAACCAGAGTTCCTGAGAACAGCCTGTTTTTTTTCATCAGCAACTGCATCAACAACAGATTGTAAAAGTTTGAATATCTAAAAAGATGGCAAGTTTGGCCAAAAACAACAAACCCTACAATTTTGACAATCTTTGACTTTCTGATGTGGTGGTTCAAACATACAGACACATTTTGGCAAAGTTCAGTTCAGGAAAACATTGGACATTAACGTGGCTGTTTTCATCATAGGCTTCTACAACCATGATTTTCATGGTACAGGTGTATTTCGTTTTCAAACTGTGTCTAACCACAGAATGTCGTTAGATGAATATTTCTGGCTGGCAGACTATTTTCAGTCAGTTTGGCATTGAGGTGTTTAAAACCCCTGTTGGCTGTGAGCCACTCATACCAGCACCACAGACACTGCTGTGTCACTGCCATGTGGTAGTGGTCCACTACCTAATCAATACTTGCTCAAACATAAATTCGTGAACTAATCTGTGAATCGTTTGAGATATCCTAATGATACTGGTCTCAAATCTTTGAGACTGTGCAGATGAAGAATTAGGAAAATGATTCATATTTGTGAACAACACAGGCCAGTTAGTCCTTTCAGAGCGGAGCTAGCACAGTAGTCCAATAACAAGTCACCATTCGGTTTAGATCAGGCATTTTGTTCCTCCCAATCACTCCCCCCTCCATGTCTCCCAGTCTTTGCCAATATGAGCGTTGAAATTTCTGAGTAAGACTATAGAGTGTGTAGATGGGCCTCTTTCCAGAACCCCACCCACTCACTCCAAGAAGGCTGAATAGTTTTTCTCTCTGTGATTTTAATTCACATTGAGGTGACCCTCTCATTCACCAAAACTCTAACTGCATGGCAGCCAGCCAGGGGCTTGTGAGTATCCCATCACCATCCCAATGCCTCTCACTCTGTGCAAGTCCTGAGTAGGAGAGGGACCAACCCCTATCATGAAGTTTGGTTCCACCCCTGTGAGAACTCTTTTCATGTACCAGATATAGTAGGGGATATTAAGTCTGATTGGATCCTGTTCTAAACCTCCATTGTGGAAGTTGCCAGGTATAGCTGTGGCCAAAAGCTTGTTGGCGCTTGTCAGAGCGGCGACTGAGAACCTGCTTGTGGACACTGGTGATTGGGGGGGCCGACAAGCTGAATAAGGAGGCCTTTAGGGGCTGGTTGGCTCCTCAAAATGTGGAACATGGAAGGGGCCATGGAAAAGTTTTTTGGTTGGCTTCGAAGAGGTTCTGGACAACCATCTGGTGTCACAGGAGCTTTTGGAGTGGCTTTGCTCAAGCTGTACCCAGCAAAGGTGGAGAAACTCTGACTTCAAATGTGGACATTGTAGGTCGGTGGAAGGAGCACTTTGAGGAACTCGTAAATCCGAGAGACATGTCTCTCTCACGGGAATCGAGGCCAGAGGCTTCTGGGATGTCAGACTCCATTTCCCTGGTGGAGGTCACTGAGGTAGTTGGCAAGCTCCTCAGTGTCAAGGCACCAGAGGTGGATGAGATGGATAGGAAGAGGGATCATAAGATCGGCTGTAGGCTGGTACAGGCGGCAGCAGTAATGCGGTCACTGTACTTAACTGTAGTGAATAAGAGGGAGCTGAGCCATAACTGACAGAAAGAAATTGTACAAGCAGTGGAAATGAACAGGCTAGTGGCAGGCTACACCCTATTTGACAAGGTGAGGAGCGCAGTCATCCAGGAGGAGCTCAAAGTAGAGCCGCTACTCCTCCACCTTGAGAGACGCCAGTTGAGGTGGTTCAGGTGTCTGATTAGGATGCCCCCCCCCGGTGCCTCCCATTTAAGGTCTACCAGGCATGGCTGACTGGGACAAGACCCTGTGGTCATTCCAGGATCCGCTGGGGGAAGAATTTCTTCAAGTTGGCCTCGGAGCAGCTCAGGGTCACCCAGAATTAGTTGGAGGAAGTTGGGGGGACAGGGTTATCTGGGCTTCTGTACTTTCCCTATTGCAACTGTGACCCTAGCTGTATGAAGCAGGCTGAGAAGACAAAGACGAAGGGTGGAGCTTAGCTCACTAAAATGGCTACAGATCAGGATCTCTTACAAAACTTCTCACAAAATCTTTAGAACCAATTAGTCAACAGGAGGCACTATAAAGTCTTAAAACTGTTTCTCAGTGTTTGCAACATATCTGCACATTGATCAACTGAGTGTATATGCAACATTTGGTTTCAACTGGCCTCTGGTTGCCCTACAGCGCTCAATCTTTTGCTAATTTCATAAACTATGATTATCTCTTCTTACATTTAAGTTAAAGAAACATTACTGTAATAAACTAACTGATCATGTCATGCAGTGCTCTGAGATTGACAGTTTTCTAAATGTAAATATATTATTAAAGTTTTTTTAATAATAATAAAAAAAGTTTTTCAGCAAATGCAGAAGGTATGAAAAAGGCCACTTTTGAACTAGCCTCCTAGTTTTAATCATATTGTCGCAAACTGTGGAGACTAAAAGTAAACAATTATCCAAAAAATCTTGACATTTTGCCCATTAGGGCTACAGCACATGAATCAATAAGTAGGGGTTGGGTTATTCGTACTAAAAGTTTAGAAAATTAGATTTATCATGAGGTTAAATCTTTAAATAAACATTTTATTCAAAAAATGCTTTCCCATGTTTTCTTGTCACTATCAAAACACTGTATTCAAAATGGCATACTACATACTGCATACTGATAATGCATACTACTCTTCATAGTAGTATACAGTATAGTATCCAATATACAACACAATCTGTGTACAAGAGAAAAGGGGTCCAACTAGCTGGCCAACATCAGGCACAGAGCCAATTACACCTTAGCCCAGCCCTCCAATCATCACTTATCAGCTGTTGCCAGTCACTTTCAGCCTTTTCAGGTCAGGTCTTCAGCAACACGTGTGGCTGGGTTTTACAATAAGAGTTGAGGGTTGTGTTTTCTATCCATCTCCAAAGCCATAGATAAAGCTTTGGATTAGTTTGTGTGGTCAAACCTGTGTGGTCTCCAAACACACCTGTTTCCCTCTGTTCACAAGTGTTTACATTTTCTTTACAGTCGTAGCTGGTAATAATATGAAATTTGAGCAGTTCCACAAGGGAGCCTGAAACACAGATGCTAAGTGGATTGTTTGGCTCAGACCAACTTTACTAAGTTACTATATTAACAACTTTCTCTACGCAGTAATGGAACTTCATTAAATAGACCAGCCAAGAAATCAGCCAGACAAGTGATCTCCTTTCATTGCATTTACGTATCTGTAAAAGACTGAATCCACTGCTGTAAGAGTTGTTCAGAGTATGTACTGTAAAGTTTCAGGCAGAATCTGTGTGCAAGCAGTGTGTGTTACATTATTTCAAACACAGCCAATAGGTTTCAGCCTGTGGGTGGAGCCCTATTTTAGCCACACCCCTGCATTTTAAAGCAGCAAGTGAGACTGCTTTCTTGTCCTTCATGGCCGCCAGGCATCTTTCACATGGGTGAGTTGTCACACTGTTTATATTTCTGAGAGGGTGCTACTTTAAAGTGGAGTACAAGTTTTGTGCATCTACTTGGTCTGATGTCATTTCCTGTCTGAAAAATGCAGACATGGGCACAAATTTGCTATTTTCCACATTCTGAAGTAAAAAAAGGAACGATACATTTTTATCTTTTTAAAATCTTCACCATTCCTCATTTGTACTTAGCAGAGGAGAGAATTCCCTTCCTAATGACCTGCACTAAACTTGAAAATATGGCAAATATCAGCCAATAGGGCAGTTTGGGGCAACTTGTCCCAGTAATTTTGGGGCAAGTTATCACATATGATGCCAGGTAATTTACATGTGCCAGAACTGTGAGTGCGATGATGAGTCTGTTTAGTGATGTCTATGTCAGATAATCTAGAACCTACTGGAACAAAAGGCAGATTTAATGCATTCTAGTTTTGTTTAAATGCTTAAAATGTTTTATGTGAAAGATTGTTTGAAATGATTTTCCAGTTGTTGTGGTTGTAGCCCTACAACACTCCAGAACTGACCCAGTGATTAAGGATTACTAAGTTCAGTGACTAATTCACCTTTTCTTTTGAAGTGGCAATTAATTTTACAGTAAAAGTAATTAAAAGTAAAAAAAAAATCAAAGAATAACCCAACAAAGAATTGATTGTATGTGTTGCAAAATCCAGTGTTACTTCTTACCCGCTGATGGGGCAACTTGCCATGAGTGGACACTCACTGTATAAATACTGTATTGAAATAAGTGATGAAAATGTAGTGAATACATTTCTAAGACTTTGTTCTTTCATTTGGTATGTAAAATCATACATACTGTAACATTAACATTATAATCTACTGATGACTGACTGACTAGCTATGCTATTATAATGAATCAGTGTGAAACATGAGGAATCGTCACGTTCTCTGCAGTTTTTTAATGAAAAAGATGATGATTTTCTGTGTGAACAGCTGTTCAAAGCTGTGTTTGCTGGTCATGTTCTGGCTGCGTTTTTGAGCTCAAAATGAACTAAAATTGTCTCTACCGAAAAAATCACTACTGAAACATTTGGTAAAGTTTGGGTCGAGTTATGATTGTTTTGGTAGTGACAAAATGGAATGTTCAACCATTATATTTAATAATGAATATTAAATATGAAATTTTGATAAAAGAACCATGGTTAAGGTATAGGGTTACTCAAAGCAAAATGATTTTAGCCTAAAGTCCAAGATTAATTTGACTTTGAACCAGTTCAGTAGAATCATCCAATCATGTTTGGCTTAAAAAGGGGCCAAAATGCAAAAATGCACTGTTCCAGCATTATTTCACAACAAAAAAGCCACTTTCCACTTTATCCTCATAATCATATTTTGATCTAAATATAATTTTCAACAAAAACAACCTTTTCACACCAGTGTCACCAATACATACATGTAAATGCAGATCAGTCTCCTAATCTGAGTGCTGGAGTTGTTAGTTTATCTCCTTCCCATGAACTTTCAGAATCACATAAACTACTTTATACACTGTCCTTAATTAGTAAATATGTGAAATGGTTATGTTTTCTCACCTGCTTGGTGAACAGCGAGGAGACACATGACCGAAAGGAGCAAAGAGTACCGGAATGCCATGCTGACAGAGACTGCATAGAAATTTCAATCAAAGTAGATCAGTGATAGATTTTTAACATATCAGAGATTCTACATGCACAGTGTAAACATACATACAGAACAGTTTAACCCTTTAGGGCTTTTACCAGAGTAAATGTCGCTGTTCAATGTTGATTTCATTTCAGATTATTTAAAAAATACAGAGGTTAGAAGGAAGGTTTGAAACACTACCTTTGAATCTCGAGCCAATCGTCTGCGAAGTTTCGATCAAACCCAGCGCTCTCTCAAAACGAAAGCTTCTGAGCGAAGAAACTGATGGAAATTGTGCCGATTCGTTACTTTTATAGTTGGTTGGAGGTGTTGCGTAACCAAAAGTCACAAGGTGTTGTAGATAATTGGGCAGATAAGGATGACAGATATCATTGTGTGATGATCACCACATTCCGGAGCACCAGCTCTCAATGCTCACCACTGGTAGGCGCTACTGTGTTGTTATGGAAATGAAGGCACAGTATTGAACATATCTGGACAGTAAACAGTCGGATACGCTGTTTGCTGTTGTACAGAAGCTTTCAATGAGACTGAAATACAGATGTATGCTTATGTACTTTATTGGTCCTATAAATAAAAGTTGTCATTTTGCTGCCTAACCAATTGGGCAGCAGCACAGCACCACCTGAGGCAGTGGAAGGTTAAGTGCCTTTCCTAAGGGCATAACCAGGTTTACCTAATCAGTCGTGGTTGAACTCACAACCCTCCAGTCGCTGGCTCACCTCTCCGACCACTAGGCTACCTGCCACCTTTCTATATCAGAATGCATCCATCGTCCACACAAGCTAGAACATTAGCCACAAGGCAGATTTTGCCTCCCCGAAAACCATCCTGCACCATGTAATGTAGCATAGCTCTCCATTGCAAGTGGACCGTAACCTTCTGACAACTGGTCAATGTTTCAAACTGCAGTATGAATGTCGAAGTTGATGCTGATCGTGGTGACAATGTGTTGCTCTTTTGTTTGTTGGTGTGTTTGGTTGTCTCATGTTTAATGTATCTTATGTTGATTGCTTGTTCACGTACAAGCGATTAGAACTGCTGCATATTTAGGACAGCATGTTTCATCTTAACCCTTCCAGGTTTTTTTCATCAGAGGAATTTGTTCTGAGGACTAACCAAGAATGATCAAACAGGCATAATAAGCAGCAGATTAGGACAAGGAAACATGGAGTTTGGTTCGCCTGAGGCTGCCCAAACACCACTCAGCACTTCCAGTCCTCGTTCTTTCCAATGTACCGTCTCTGGTAAATAAGGAAGACGTCCTTATCAACTCAGCTCTGTGATGTGCTCTGCGGGAACATGGCTGGATGGGAACATTCCTGACTCTGCGCTCCACCAGCAGGACTTTACTCTGCATCAAGCTGACCATATGTTCGCTTCACTTAGACAGACAGGTGGGGAATTGTGTTTGTATTATAATGGGTGGTGTTCCTGCTATTCCTGAAAAGTCCAGTGTCCTGAAAAGTCCACCTGTTTTAATGAATACAGACGGGTGTCACTCTGCTTACACTCTATGTTGCAACACCTGGAGGTACCAGGTACATCTGCACGAATCTAATGTATATAATGTAGCCCAGCATTTCATTCACTGTTGCCTTAAAAGCTCCTTGACAGGCCTCAGACGTCTGGTGTCCACCAGTCTTTGTGCTATTGGATTCTTGATTTTCTGTCTAATAGAAAGCAGGTTGATAGAATGAATACTGTGGTTTCCTATCCTCGAATTCTCAATACTGCCCCCCACAGGGCTGCGTTCTGTCTCCTCTGTTATATTCTCTGTTAACCAGTGACCAGTATATCAGATTCTGATTCTGTACAATTGTATAAGTTGCAGATGATACAACATTGTTGGGATTGGTGTCAAACAATGACACTGCATACAGGGACATGGCTACAGTCTTAGTGGAGTAGAACAGGGTGAGTAACTTAAGCCTGAATATTGAAAAGACAAAAGAGTTGGTGGTTGACTTCAGGAGACAGAAGGTGGGCCTACCATGTCTGACCATCAATGGCAGGGAGGTGGAGATGGTTGCCTTGTTTGGGATCCTGAGGACGACCATCAGCTCATCTCTTAAGTGGGAGAGCATCACTGCTGTCTTGTTGGTAAAAACTCATTCAGTGCTTTTCTTTATAAGACAGCTTAAGACATTTGGTGTGAAAAGAGACTGAATGATGTGCTTTTTAGAGCTGTGAAGTGTGTTGACCTTCTCCATACGTGTGGTATAAGAGGACGACAGCATATGAGAGAGAGCAGCCGGAGAAAGTGGTGCGTATCGCCTCCAAAATTATTGGTTGCGAAACTGCTGTCTCTGTTTATACCAGAAGGATGGAAAAAGAAAGCAATAAAAATTGTACAGCACCTTTTTCAAATTGCTCTTTTCTGGAAAAACGTTTCAAAGCATTGTTTAGTAAAAGCACCGACCCGCCTGCTATCAGGCTTTTGAACTCCACTCCACAAACTTAATCTTATTCATTTTCATTGATTTTATTGAGTCATTTTATTTTGATAATGACTGTTGTGAATGTGTGTATATTGTTTGATGTTTGATCAGAAATGGCTCTTCAAGTACTGACTAATGTAGCAATAAAGTATTGAAACCTGAAACAAAGAAACATGAATTGTTAACTTGGACTTAACCCTCTTATTATGTGTGCAAATCAGTTTGAGCCTCTATGGCTGAACCACCTCGGAACAGTCCTAGGACACATATATCACTCTACAGTTTAATTTGACCCTACTTGTCAACTACTTTCCCATCAACAACGTAGAGATTAACTTCTTCTATTGTAATGTACTGTTACAATCAGCTTATTTGCCTTAATATCAGACATTTTCATCACAAAACACACACTTTAAAGCATGTTACAGGTTCTTATTTTTTTTATATTCTCCGGGATTATCTCTTTATAGCATGTAGATATTTGATTTGTGTTGATATCATATTTTGAATAAATTCACAATATTTTTTGGTCAAAACTGACCCTTATGTTACAAATAAAACCAAAAACGTGTTGTTCATTTTTCCTGCAGACCCTGTTTGTCCTGGGCTCAATCTGATTGTATTTTGAGGTGCCATCCAACCCCGAGTTTCAGAGGGGGTGAGGATGTTATTTTTAACATTAATGCCTCCCTTTCAACATTTTGCTGCACACCAGGTTCCTCATCAGAGGACAGTTCCTCAAGCTCTGAACTGACTTCTCTATTTCAGACACTTCTCCTATTTTATTATCAGCATCGCCATCTTCTTAATCAGCGATTTCATGGATTTTATGGGCTGTGAACTTCCTTTTAACTGTTATGGTGGCAGCAGATTGAACTATGCAGAGAGACAGGTGGGCTCTGTCCTGCACAGGACCCTTATATGAGTATGGCCCCTCCCCTGATAATAAATATCTGATTCCCATGGATTGCGTATGTGTGTGTGTAAAACCTTACAAACTATTATAAACTTTATCTGCACTGTGTTTTCCTTAATCTGCTGCGTTCGACCGTCATTCTGTACTACTGGGTCAAATCTGACCCTGAACAGTGTCTTGGTACCCAAATGGTGTGGACACTTTATAAAAACATAATTGGTCAAATTGAGCCTACAGAAAAAAAGTTGAGCAGCTGGTGGAGATGTTGGTGGGCTTCAGGACATCTACAACAGCAGTGAAGTGCGCGAGCAAAATTACAGCTGACCCCTGTAATTGAAAATGACATGTAAGTGTTCTTTGTGCTGAATGTAATGGAAAATTATATGTAAGTGCTTTTTTGTGTTTGAGTGTTAGTCAAACGCGCCTGGATGTGTTCTAGCACATCAAGGTCTCGCATGTACGCATCAGGCGTTAACACCTTGAGGTGTTAATGCATATACAGCTTGTATGTTTTTACCTTTCTTCGAAATGATGACTTGACTGTTTGACGCTGCTTAAAGATGTGTCACCATTACTTAGAAACCGCTGCAAAAACAGGAAGCACCCGTCTGGGCAAGTTCCTTTTGTGAATGTATATATACTCTGTGCTGTTTGTGTTCGAGGAGCTTCAGAGCCTCAGCTGACAGCTCCCCGCGGTGATTCTCCAATAAATCCTTGATTATCTTCTGAGGTCTCTGACTTATTATTAGAATTTCCACCACACCCCTCTCATCCTGGACATCACCTAACAGACGCTCCCCTCTGGTAGAAGATTCAGAACTATCAAAACCAGCACAGACAGACATGCTGACAGCTTTTTCCCTGGAGCTGTAGATCATTCGTTACAGTAACAGTGACAGTACAGTAGCATAATGCTTACTTACACAGCTGTACAGATGTTACATTTCCGCAAATATTCACAGCATTCTGTAAAAATCTGTATATAATAGTTTCTAAAGTATGTCATCAGGCTTTTTAATGTACATTCAAAAAGATATTCACACTTCTCTTTAGCTCCTCCATGGCTCTTTATTATTCTTTGTTCTTTTACTGTATTTTTATTGTGTTTGTCTCTTTTTTATCAGTCTGTGTTTGTCTGGTCTGCAAAATAAAGTGATTCTGAATTTGACTAAAGCACGTAACACCAGTGACATATAGACATTATGTGCTGCCTGATAAACAAAATTAATAATTAATTAATTAAATCTAATGAGCAAATATTGGCTCATCTTTTCATTCCTTGAGTTGCTTCCTCTCAAGAAAGCAGTTCAGTAGAGCTGAAAACACTGTGTTAAAATATAAGATCAGTCCTGTTGACACCAGTGACCAAACATTGTTAATGTAGTATAATTTGAATGATGCATATAGTAAACATGGCTCTGGTTTATACAGTTTTGTAAGTTAAATCTTTTAAAGAATTTAGATTATATTAAAAATGTTTTCTTAAATGTTGAAAATTGGTTTGTGATGAGCAGTTTTTGCAGAGTGACTATGGAACATGATAAAAACACACGAATCAGAGAAATCTTAAGAGAAATGTCTCATTTTATCTTAACCTCTGTGATGTTTCCCACTCCAAATGGAGAAAAACCCAATTATCCAGTTAAATAAGTTTGTAACTCTGTACTGGGAACTATGGGAACAGGTTTTAAAAAAAAGTTAAAGTTTGCTGTAGCTATGGGGCCAGAGTAGAGAACATGCTCAGTACTGGTAATTCGCTCACTGCATAAGAGGCTGTGAAATCCATGATGGGGATGCTTTTTCCCTTGTGGATAATAAAGGTGTCCTTGATCCTTGTGATCTGTTCTGTGCAGAAACCAGAAACCACATTTAGAGACTAGCAGCTCTTTAAACTCTATTCTGTAACT